AGAAAAAAAAAAAAAAAAAAAAAAGTGAAGAAAAGTATAGAAGCAAATGAAATAGTGACCGGAAAAGTAATCGAGAGAGTGGAAGTTGGTATCGCAAAAGGGTTTGGAAGGAGGATTGAGGAGAGAGGTGTAGAGGAAGTTGCAGGTCCAAGCAACAAGCGATGCGAGTGCAAGCACCGCCACCAGTCTGGGGAAGTCGTGTTTGGAGGGTAACAAATTCTGAGGGGGTTCTCTTCCCACCATTGATTTCGCCCAACCTTCTGAATTCGAATTAGACAAACACTCCCTTCGCCGATTCTGCTTCATCTTTCCACACACACGACTCTACAAACAAACTTGTACCTCTTCTTCCCTTTCTTCTTTCTTTTACGGTTAACTTAACATTGTATCATTGTTTATTTCATTTATATGATTTGCATTGCGTAAATGTTAATCCCTTGTCATGACATAATTTTAATTTATATAATTATATATAAAATAATAAAGAGTTCTATCTCTAATAATTATAAATAGATATAATATTAAAAAATTATTTATAATTATTTAGATAAAATATTAAAAAAAAATACATATAAGAGATATAATAATTTATTAAAAAATAAAAATAAAAAGTGATTATATAGATATAGATGATTATATTTTTATTATATTATTATTTATAATGTAATAAGATGAGTTAGGTATAAACAAAATATCGTATATTAACTGTGATATCAGAATTGTGTAAAAAAAAAGTGATATGTGAAATCAATTAGAATGTTTGAAAAAAAAAACTTAAATTATAAAAATTTCAGCTTTTTTTAATAAAAAAAAACCTTGTATGTTTAGAGCAAAAGTTTAAATTTGAAGTTTGCATTAAATTGATTTACTATATAAAATAATATTTGATTAACATAATTTACGTATAATAAAGAAGTATAACAAAAATCATATATCATAAACATAATTTGTGATTTTCAAATTTTAAAACACGACACAGATTATGTTTATGAAAAAAAAAGTAAATTTACAACATAAAAAAATATTTATTTATTATGTTGAAATGAAATTAAATATCTTAAAACTGTTTGTTGTCAAAATTATATAAATAAAAACTTATTATATTTATAATCAATTATACACTTAATCATTTATATTATTCAATAACTTTTACGATTATTTTCCAACACATCATATGTATGGTAAATATGTGATTCTACTTTGTTCACAAATCTTCGAATTATATTTATAATTATGTTATCTTTATTAAATATTAAAAATATTGGTGAAAAATAGTTGAAAACTTTTTTAAAATATCATTTTTTTAAAATTATCAACCAAATAAAAGAAATTTCCTCGTCAATAATATATTAAAGAAGTTTTTAGGGTCAAATTTTGCATCAATTTATATGATTTAATCAATCTTATGAATTATTTGTTTTTCTTTATTATTTTGCATTAAGTCTGCCAACTTATTATGTTTTATCTTTACCTATTTTTTTATATTATGTTTTATCCTTTAACATTTTCTATGTATGTTATAAAAAGTTTTATATTTAATAATTTTATAATATATGTAAACATAAATAATAAATACTTATAAAAAATAATTATTTATTTCATGATTTTCAAAAAGATCTTTGATTTCTTCTTTTAATAAATGTTTCAGATATTTAGAGATGACAAGTAAAATTTTAATTATAAATAATATTTGAACTCGCCTCAACTTTAATTAGAAATAGTTATTTTGATTAAACACAATCACAGATGATATCCAATTTTTTAAGTTAGTACAAAAATGAGAATATATACTTACTTACCCATCGTTATCCTCACTTTAAATTTCTTGAGATTTAATTTATTTTAAAAAAAATTTACTTAATATTTATGTAATTTATAATGTATTTTAAATTATGTCAAATAAAACTTAATTGTTATCGCTTTATAATTTAAATTTAATAATGTTATAATACAATTTTTATTTTGCATTTATTATGAGTTATAATGTGTCAACCTTTTATTGAATAGAAAATTTCTTATTATCATTAGTTAAAAAAAATTATTTTAAAAAGCATAACACTTATTAATCGATTCTATAATTATATATGACTAAATTTATCTATAATTATCAAATAATTTTTGTATTTTAAACATATAGTCATAAGCCCAATTCTTAATAGATGTATATATAAAAATTTGTTAAGAGATTAACCTCTCAAATAAATGTTAGTACGATTACACTAAAAGATATCTTAATTTTTCAAAAAAAGAAATTAAGAAAATATTTTAAAACACTTTTATAAAAGGAAATAAGGTAAAAAGGCTTTGGTTAAAAATAAACTAAAAATATTATTATTTAAAATAAATATTTTAATTTATATAATAAAAAATAGCATTCTTTATAAAAAAAATTAAAAATTAAAAATTAATTAAAATGCATAAAACATTATTATTAGTATGGATTGAATCCCTTAAACAAGATTTTAGATCCTAGCATATATATATATATATATATATAATATAACTATTTTTTATCGAAAAATTAAAATAATTAATCAAATTTTTTTAACTAAAATTAATTATCGAAAAAGTCACTTCTTACTAATAACATAATTAAAAAAAATTATATTATTACGATATTAAAAAATGAAAAAGAAAAAGGAAAGAAAAGGAGAGAAGGAAGATGCTAGGTCTGTATATGAGGCCTGAGTGGCAGATCCGCGCCGATGGTGTGACCCTCTGCTGGTTACAAAATATAAATTTAAAATAGAATTAAAATTTAAATCTTGAGTTTGAGCGAAAGCGTTCCAGTTCCAAGGGCACAAATCAAAACCATAGAGGTACAATTTTTTCAACCAATTCTCAATTCGATTCAACTTTTCCTATCTCTCTCTTCGTTCAATACCATCCCTACGCTCTCCGTTGCTTTATCCCAATCCAATTTCTTCGTTTGTTTATAATATTAGAGAAATTAGCATGTTTTTTCTGTTTACCCTCACACTAGTTATCTGTACGCTTGGATGAGTCATGAGCTTCTAGTTCAGGGCCTTGCATCTCTCATTGAATTCATCATTTATCAAATTAATTGTTTGATCTATTAATTTCTTAATTTACTTACGTATAGTATAAGGCGAGCGTTGCTGCTGGTGCTGGTTATAGTCTAATAGAGCATTGTATGATAAATATATTTTTTGTCGTCTATTATCCAATTAATCAAACTGGGGAGATTTTTTTTGATTCTGGATATGATTATGTAAAACACTGTTATGCTGGCAACTGGCAAACATATGCAATATTGTGTACGTTTTGGTTTGAGCCTTTTAGGTCATTTGATAATTTCTGTCGGGTCTTTTAAAATTTTCAGTCTCAGATATGCTCAGGCTTGTACAAAAAATGGTTAAATGCAATTGGATTATCTAATAGGGGTGGTATCTTGTATGCCAAATTATGGTTGAATCCATGTGTTTCTTACACAAATTGGGACTGCTTTTACTGATGTTGGTTCGTAACAAAATATGGCTTTAGTTTTCTCTTTTTTATTAGTTTACTTCTTGTTGTTGTCGTCGTCGTCTAACATGGTGTTTGACTAGCTTGTTCTTGATCTTAAGTTGTGTACTCAATATGATCGATTTGTGAATTGATTGTGATATTATAAAGACAAACTTTTTGAGTTCGTGTTTACAAAATTGATTATACTTAAAATTGATTTTGAAGTGTAATGATATTTATGTTTGAATGTTTTTATTCAGAAAGCACATTAGTGGTAAAACACTATAAATGTAAAAGTTACTTAAAGTTGTTTCAAATCAAAATCATTTTTTCAACATGAAACTAAACTAAACATACGAACATTTATTTAAAATTTCGTTGGCTAGTATTTCAATGTGTATTTAAAACATATGAACATGAATCCAAACATGCACCTTGTCATTTTTATTTGACTCCATCACATTTATCGTGTATTTGTTAGAATTGCTTCTTCATTTAGTATTTTCTTCTGATCTAATGCCCTTGTAGCTTTGTGTCAACGAATTTTGGATTCAGTTATTACTCCCTATAACATGAGGAGGTGACTTGGAGATGGCAGACTTACCAGGGCATATACGTGCCTGTTTGAACACAGGGAAGCTTGCCTCCTTGGCAATTTTGGTCTCTGGAGGAATCGTCTTGCAGATTTTGGTCCGTACTTCCTTTTTTGTTCTTGATTTGTACTTGCATAAATAGATGACAACTTATTGGTAAAAAATTTAAGTGTTTACTTACATCTGTGTTATGTGTCAGGCATGTGCCTTGTATAATAATTGGTGGCCGATGCTAAGCGGTGAGATAAAGCACCATTGAAATTTGATTTCTGTACTTTATGGCATTCTTTTCATTGATTGGATTGTTATGTGACAAGAACATCCCCATGGTTCTTTTCTCTTGCAGTGTTAACGTATGTGCTTCTTCCAATGCCTTTGCTGTTCTTTGCTGGGTCTGATGGTTCTGTATTTTCTGAATCTGATAATAGGTAAACTGTTATGCTTTAGTCTAAAGTAAAAAGTAAGATTATTCAACTTTTATGATATGACTTGTTAACTTAGTTTGATCTTCATTTAAGTAAGATCTAAATGTTATTAGGAAAGAAAAAAAATAGTTACTATATAGTACCTTTATAAATTGAGATGTTCTGTAACAACCGATTTATAGACCAATAAAAATAAAACGAGTATTGTATCTGAGGCAAAAACCAAAAGATTATCATTTAAAGCAGCGAAATCCTTTACAATAGGATCCTTCTCCACCAGTCCCATTGCTTTTTTCATTCTTACTTTCAAAATCCCTTTCCACAAACTTGATTCATATTTTGTTAAAACTCATACAATGAACAAACGCTTTCTCATTTCATCTCAAGATGGGGGATTAACTATTTGTCTTTGTGGTCTTATGAATGATGGAACAGCTGGGTGAATTTTACCAAGTTCTTGACCGGAGCCTCAACCGTTGGAGGCATTGCCATTCCGAGCATATTAAAGCATGCTGGGGTTATCTGTTGGGGAGCCTTTGCAATGGAACTGTCGTCCTACTTTGTGTTTGGATTATCTGTATTATGTTTCCTTTGGATGAGTGATGATGATGATTACGGTATGCTATGAGAAGGGAACTTTACTTTAGCGGGGCTTGCTTCTTCATTGCGAAAATGGATTTATTCCTTTCATGTGCTATTGATTTCCTTGCTTTTGTGTGCTTCACCTCAGCATATTTCTTTTCCCATTTTAAATATTGGCAGCCTCGACTAATTGTGTTTAACAATGATTTCTCGAGGCTCTCAATTGTGAAGGAGCTTTCAGACATTATACGGAAATTGTATGTAACTGGACTTTATTACTTTAATATCTATTCTGGAATGAAAAGGCTTTATTGCTTATTGTGTAAAATAAATTTGATCTTATTTAAGTATTTTGGTAGCATTGGTGTTCTTTTGTATACTAGGAAGGAAGTGAAAAATTTCAAATACTTCTCAAAATTTCGAATTGAATTAGTGTTTTTTTTCAGATAAATAAAAATTATCATAAAATTTTTCAAACGTGCACCTACATTTAATAAATAAAAGGTTCAGTTGACAAAATTATTCTTCTTGGATACTTTTTTTTTTTATAATAAACTTTAACGTTGTATTCTCAAATCCATTTCATTAAAAAAAATAATAAATAAAGGAAATCGGATTAGCAGAGTTCAGTCAGTCTTGCAGCGCTTACAATTTCAGATCAATAAAAATATGCAAACTTAGTATTTGTTTATTGTTTGCTTATCTAGTTAGTCTCAAGAAATCATTGGTCCTAGTCATGGATATCGTCAATGACTTGTATTAAAATAAACAAAAATAAGTTATAAGAAAACCATCAACTGCTTTAATTTTAGTTCTGATGTTTATTTGTTATGATAAGCCTAAATAAGTTCTGAAGACTAAAAACTCTTTCACACATCCTCTCCCCGCTGCAAGAAATTTAATAAATTTCTGGTAGGTGCATACAAAGGACTTGTATACTAAATTTAACATGCTAATCCCTGATCTGGTAGGTGAAAGATACAAAAGAAAGTTGAATACTTTTTTTTAACATACTAATCCATTTCAGCGTGTATGTCTCTTCTACCGGAAGGATCCAAACATCTAGAACCCAAGAACTTTGTTGGTTTGGTAAAAATAAATATATTTTTATTTTATAATTTACTAACTTTATATTTTCAAAGAATTTGAAGTTAACGACAAAAACAACAGACAAAAAATACAGAAAATGGTTTCCTAGTGCAAGTGTGCAACGATTGCCTAAATCTAAACATCATCTGTTGCTAGTTTGATGTGTTTGCTACAAAATGAATTTCAAGAACTGGTATTCCATTTTCCAGCCACAGTAAATCTAGAAATCAGAAAATGAACTCGATTATTAAGTTTTGACACGAAAAAATCATTCATTTCCAACCAACCATCAATTATGTTCTCCATTTAAAGGCAGAATCCGTTGTTCATCACACAACCAAACTATTATTGAGATTTTTTTTGGCAAGAGATTTTTTTTTCCCCAAACGAGATAGAGCAATTCGAACCCGTGTCATAGGTATTTTGGGATCCTAATTCCATTGGGAGCGTGGTAAAAAAATGTTAACCCAAATGAGAATGCATAATATCCCGGTTATGCATCAATGTTAATTGTTTAGAAAATGAAGAGAAAAGATAAATAACAACAATAAGAAATAGGGGAATTTGGCTTAAACGTCATACAGGAAAAAGTAGATAAAAATAAATGCTATAAACGGCATAAAAGAGAGATGAAATGGGGTATCAGAAGACTACGCGAAACTGGGGCGCGTTAGACTGAACCGCGGGGAGAATCTCCCAGCGGCAGGGCTCGAGGTCTTCAGAGACAGGGCAGTAGCCGGCGAGCGTGACCCTGTCGTTGGAAGCCGCCACGGAGCCGAACTCGAAAATCGAGACGGTGGCGTTTGCTGGCCGGGGAACCTCCACGGCGCCGTTCATCCCTGGGGCCTCCACCACGGGCTTCGTCGTGTCTGCGCCGTTCATCGACGACGATGATGCTGACGGTGACTTTGCTTCGGGTTGAGGCTGAGGCTGAGGCTGAGGTTTGTTCCCCTTTCGCCACCACAGTAGACCCATAGCTTTGGTTTTGGTTTTGTTGTTGTTGGCTAAGGTTGTCTTGTGTTATGCCTTCTCTCTTTCTCCTAACTCCTAAGCTAGGGATTTCTCTCAACCCGCCACATAACATTATGTTTATGTAACACCAAATGACTTCATTGCCCTTTTACTAACTTGTCCTTTTCCCAGTAACCTTATTTTATACACAGGACTTATTTTATTATTTTTTCTGACTTAAATAACTCCAATATATAAAAAAAAAAGTGTCGATTAAAAAACACTTAATTTTATTTTTTAATAAATTCTTAAATTTTTTATTAAAATATTATATAAAATAAAATACTAAAATCAAAAAATCAATTAAATAATATGTTTTAAAAATAATATTACACTTGAATATCAATTTAAAATTGCGCTTTAAAAAAATACACATAAAAAAAATAAAAATTTGTAAGTGTATTTCATTTTTTTTTTTTTTAATTTCAAGTCACACCTGAAAAAAAAAAAAAAAAAGACATAAACATTGGTAAAATGGAAAGGGAGGCATTGAGAAAGATCTAACAATCTGTGTCTGTTCGGTTCCTTCCGCCATGACCATGAATGAAGAACAACACTCTCTGCTTCTCAACTCGTCCTCTCGCTTCATACCCCCACAAGGAGTCAAACTATCGTACGGCACCGCCGGCTTCAGAGCCGATGCCTCGCTTCTGCCATCGACGGTCTTCAGAGTCGGAATCCTCGCCGCCCTCCGATCGCTCAAGACCCGTTCCGTCACCGGCCTCATGATCACCGCCTCGCACAACCAGGTTTCCGATAACGGCGTCAAAGTCGCTGACCCCAACGGCGGCATGCTCTCTCAGCACTGGGAGCCCTTCGCCGACGCCCTCGCCAATGCCCCTTCTCCCCAACACCTCATACTGGTTGGTTAGCACAGTTATTTTCTTCCCGCGTTACCCTTTTTCGTTTTTGAAATCGTGTTTGGTCAATGTGGTTGTGTGTGTGTGTGTGTGGGCACAGTTGATAAATGAGTTTGTGTGTGTGTGTGTGTGTGTGTGTGTGTGTGTGTGTGTGTGTGTGTGTGTGTGTGTGTGTGTGTGTGTGTGTGTGTGTGTGTGTGTGTGTGTGTGTGTGTGTGTGTGTGTGTGTGTGTGTGTGTGTGTGTGTGTGTGTGGTCACAGTTGATAAATGAGTTTGTGGAGAAAGAAGGGATCTCGATGGATGGAGCTGGGACGCTGGAAGTGCTTTTGGGGAGAGACACGAGGCCAAGTGGAGATGCATTGCTTCAAGCTGCTAAACAGGTATGAGAGTTCTAAATTACTGTGCATCTTTTGAGGTTTGTTTGGATAAGCTTTAATAAGAAAATAAGGACATAAAATTGATTGAACTTTGGCTCTGATTGAATAAACTTCTCTTGAAGAAGTTCTAGGAGAAAAAGACTAAGACGAAAAAAATGAAATAAGTTTATTCACAGTTGTGTATAAGCTAATTTGTGGAAGTTTTCATGTGGGCTTCTTAACTCGTGCATTTAGCTTATAGAGAAACTTGTTATAGTTTTCTTTCTTATTTTTTGTTCTTCTTGATGTGTTTATGGAGAAGTTTATCCAAAAAGATCCTTATTCAATAAGCTAAAAGCTGAGATGCATAAGTTGATTTTAGTTTAACAAAGAAGCTCAATTTATTTACCTTCTTATTTTTATAGAGAAGTTTCTCGAAACCTTGTTGTGTTTAGCTGATTTTAGTTACATAAAATTGGATGAAAATGAAGGGGGTCACTTCAATTGTTGGAGCTGTTGCGACAGACTTGGGGATCTTGACAACTCCGCAATTGCATTGGATGGTTCGTGCTAGAAATAAGGGCATGAAAGCCTCGGAGCAGGATTACTTTGAACAGCTTTCAAGTTCATTCAGGTTAGTCTAATCCAGATATTGTTATGGTCATTGCTTCGTGTTTTTCTTTTCTTTTCTTGATGTTTAAGTCTTCTTTGAACACATCCTTTTAGGATCATTATGTGATTGGATCAGGTGTTTGGTGGATTTGATCCCAACTGAAAAAAGTAAGTTCAATGGGGTGAATGACAAAGTGGTTGTGGATGGAGCCAATGGGGTTGGTGGAGTAAAACTTAAAGATTTAGGGAAATTATTGAATGCTTTGGCTATTGAGGTTCGGAACAGCAGTGAAGATGGAGGTGTACTGAATGATGGAGTGGGTGCTGATTATGTGCAGAAAGAGAAGGTTGTTCCACATGGCTTTGGTTCGAAAGATGCTGGGATAAGGTTAGTCTGCTGATCATCTTGTGTTAGAGGTGAAGGCCACACAAGCATGTTGCTTGAAATTTCTAAACTATTATGAACTTATGAAATTTATATCTACATCCCTGTAATTTTCCAATCAAAAAGTTGTGATTATCTTTCTAACCAAAAAATGTGCACTTTTTATTTACTCTGTCTGCATGGTCACTGCAAGTGTTTCCAACCATGATTGTAAAATGGAAAGATTGTCATTCATTGAAACTTACAAATTTGTAACTGTGAATTGTAGTTGTTAACATGATCCTTGAAATAACATCACTTAAAAAAATAATGAACAAAAAGTATTCAGCTTAAAATAGCTAGGTTTCTCGTCAGTAAGCCGTCCCCCCCCTTTTTAATTGGTGAATGGCGTCTGTGACGTGGGTGGGTTAGGGAAAGTTGCAGTCAGGTCTTACTGAAAACTGGAAACTTAGCCCTACCATTTGATTTAATAGATGTATTCTTTTAGCATTGCCATATTGGTGCTATTTATTATGGTCTTTTTTTTTTTTTCCTGATGGAGCTAGTTCTAGTTTGTAGGTGTGCTAGTTTGGACGGAGATGCTGATCGGCTTGTTTATTTTATTGTACCACCGGAAAGCAGTGGTAGGATTGACCTTGTTGATGGGGACAAGATACTATCCCTGTTTGCCTTATTTATTAGGGAGCAACTAAGCTTTCTTAATGAGAAAGAAGACATAAACCAAGCCCGTCTTGGTGTTGTGCAGACTGCTTATGCAAATGGGGCTTCTACTAATTATCTTAAACAGTTGGGACTTGAAGTCAATTTTACTCCAACTGGAGTGAAATACCTGCATGAAAAAGCTGCTGAATTTGATATTGGCATCTACTTTGAGGCAAATGGCCATGGAACTGTCTTATTTTCAGAATCATTCGTAGGGGGTTTGGAGGCTAGAACTAACAAGATTGCTTCAGGATCCAAAGGTTTATTCAGTGGTTTATGACTATTCAACCTTCACTTACAAGTTGCAAGATTCAACTGCTGAACAAAGCAGAAATTGTTTGATTGTTTGTTTCAGGTTCAGAACGGGAAAAGGCTGCTTTGAGATTATTGGCAGTCAGTAAGCTAATCAACCAAGCTGTTGGAGATGCATTGAGTGGATTGCTCTTGGTGGAAGTCATATTACAGCACATGGGATGGTCAATACATAGATGGAATGATCTTTATCATGATTTACCCAGCAGGCAGCTCAAGGTCAATCATTTTTATCATTTATCTTTTCTGTAACTAGAATTTTTGTCCTGCTGCTAGGAGCTTCATCTGGGGTCCATAATATTTTCCTATTTAAGATGATAATTTCTTTGCATAGTGGGGTCCTACTATACCTGAAATGTTGATTATAATTTCGATTATGCTAATTAAATGTTTAAACTTGACTACCTTTTAAGTCTTTGTTTTAAGAGAAATACTAATAATACACTCTCTAACACACTCTTTTAAATACATTCTTTTTAATTGACTGAAATTTTATTGGAAAGCATAAATTTTGGTGGGTCTCACACCCTATTTAATGTTTCTCTTTCTTGATTTTGTAAATTTTAATCAATGAGAGTGGGTGTGTTAAGAGGAGTGTGTTGTTAGCACTCTTCTTGTTTTAAACATGGATTTGGTTCAATTCATGCATTATCTTTTTTGGTCTCAGTTGCCAGCATTTGCAATTTGATGACTCTTCTTTTAATGCAAAATTTCACATTTCACCTTGGTTGTGAAGTTACTGTTCAATTAAAATATTTTAATCTTCCCTCCCTTCTTAACATATGCCAACTTTTGTTGTATATATGATTATCTTTCTAGTGTCAATTTATTTGTTCTAATTAATTCTTGACAATTCTGAAATGAATGCTTGTCTTGGCTTTTTTCAACTGTCAGGTTAAAGTTGCCGACAGAACTGCCGTGGTTACAACAAATGCAGAAACTGTGGTTGTGAGCCCTCCTGGTCTACAAGAAGCCATCAATGAAGAAACTGGTATCTTTTTCTCTTCCTTTTTTTTTTTTAATTTTTATTTTTGGTATTGTTTGTTTGAATTACCAATGTGTTTTACCAACTTTCACATCGAAGTGAACAAGTTTCTAAGGTTGGTGAAAACAAAGATGTTGAAACTTAGTATGGCACCACTCCTTCTGATACTGGGGCCAGTTGCACTCCCTACCGATTGAAGGCGGAGGGAGGCGAGTTTGAGGCATTTAGCCACACACCAATTTTGCAAGATTTGTTTGAGGCTTATTTTCACATATGCGTATATATTGCATTGTTTTACTCCAAAAGCCTAGTGCATTATTTTTTGTTTCACCATTGGTTGCTTGCTTTTATCTGTGAAACCATAAACCGCTTATTGTTTCCTTTTTTACCAAAGGAATAATGGGCAGAGTGAGGGAGGGGAGCTAAGAAAAACAGAAGAATGTTAGCATAGATAATTCCTGAAAAGTTGGTGTCCTGTTGTTTATGTTTATCTTATGGCATTTTCATCCATCCATTAAATGCTTTTTAGTGCGTAGATTAAAGTGAAGAATTTCAGTTTACTAATATTGCATCTTGGTACTCTTTTCACCTCTGGGTTTTACAGCTAGGTACCCCCAAGGAAGATGCTTTGTGCGACCATCTGGCACTGAGGACGTTGTTCGTGTATATGCCGAAGCATCCACACAGGAAACAGCTGATACACTTGCCAACTCTGTGGCTAGGCTTGTGGACCAATTCTTAGGCTCCAACAGCTCCTGACACCTTCTGCGTCATCTTTTTGATTTCCATTTGGCATTACAACAGAATGGACCTAGCTTTTAAAGTTATCTAACCATCGAGATTTTTGAATAAAATTTCTCTTGCATTTTACTTTTAACTTTTTAAGATGGTGGACCTGTATTCTATTCCTATTCAGATGTACTTCTGTATATTAACATCTTAAAATTGTGAAAACAATTAGCTTATTGTACTCGTCATCCCACCAATATCTGAAATGTTTCCATTTGAATGCTTATGTTAGTATCAAGCAGGACTAGTCCATAAATAAGCTATCATATTGATGGGTCAAGAAGTATCTCGAGATATTCTACTTCCACGCGTCTTTTACAACCTTGTAGAGATGCAAAGGGAATCATAGAAGTGTGGGATCAAGATAGAACAAAAATTATACAAGTCTTGATATTTATAAATTCTAGTATATTTAGAATTTTTACTTTAATACGTGTTTTTTTTTTTTTTTTTTTACAGTTGTTTAAGTACAAGATTGAAGAGTGATACAATAGAAAGTGATAAAGATTATATATATATATATATATATATATATATATATATATATATATATTAAAAGTATAGTAAAAAAAAAAAGAATAATATAACTCATCCATATATGATTTTTTATTTTCATTTTATAATATACTGTATTCAATTAAAATGAACCGTTAAAAGTGGGTTATTTATTTATTTTTTATTTTTTATATTTTCATTTCATTATAAAGTATTATATATATCATAAATTTATTAATTTTCATAATAATTTTAAATTTTATATAGAATATGAGTTATGATTAAATTTTTACCAGAATTATGCATTTATTTTAGTTTATAAAAATTATAATGTCAGACAACAACATATTTTAAATTTATAATTTTATACATATTATTCTAACTTTTAATTGCATCAGACTCAACTAGTGCATGACTATATTCACATATGATCATTCAAAATCATGTGAAATTACTGGCATAATGTTGAATAAATATATTCACATATTTTATTTTGCATTCAACATTGACAATGAATAATTTTATCATAAATAAAAAAAGGCTAAAACCCTATTTTGGTCCCTTATAATCTTTTTTTGTTTCAATTTAGTCCTTCATTAATTTTTTGTCTCAAATTGATCCCAAATTAATTAATTGGTTTCAATTTAGTCCCAAATTAATTAATTAGTTTCAATGTGGGACTTCCGTCTAAATTATTTAAACGGAGTTAACTTTTGGCTACGTGAATGCCACGTAGATGCATACGTGGCATCCACGTGGATGAGAAAATTCTTTTTAAGACACCTGGACCCGGAACGGCCCGTTCTGAAACCGGAACGGGCCGTTCTGGTTGCAAAATTAAAACACCACCAGTGAAGCAGAACGGGCCGTTCTGAAATCAGA